CACCTGCCCCACGGCATAGCGACTGTTCCCAGGTTTACACTGTGGGCTCTCCACTCTGACCCCACCCTGTCCCGACCCCATCAAAGAGTACCTAGTGATTTTTGGCCAAATGGCTAAGGGGAGAGATAAATATGGCCGGAGAATGAGAGAACCATGCAAAGGATAAAGATGTCCCCAAACCCCGACCCCGGGCAACTAATACCCTAAGAATAGGGACAGCTCTGAGCCCAGAGTGATGGCAGTGTCTAAAACCAGCCAACAACTTGAAGAGCAGTGCCACCAGCTGTCAGAGAAGGGGCTGCCGGGCAGATAACTCCCTGCTTCAGGCTGCGCTCCTTCAGGAAGGGTCTTCCTGCCATTCGAAGGTCTGTGGCCTGTACCTTTTGCTCATTTGCAGAAAAAATGATTGGGTACTTTGAATAGGGACTTACAGCTCAACACAGCCAACATTCTCTACCATCATGCTCTTGGCGCTGGTTCCCTCAACCCCACAACCTCTGTGCACCGTGTCTCCAGGTATGGTCATCAAGTCTCATGCCTTGTGGGACCTCCCTGCGGGTGACTCTCAAGCTTTGTCCTGTAGGGACTCTGGGCTCAGAGCTGTCCCTGTTCTTAGGGTATTGGGGGGGGGGGATCTGAGAGGAGTGAAGGGAGAGGAACCTGTGGTTGGGATGTAATATATGAGAGTAAAATTTAAAGGGGGGAGAGGAAGGAAGGGAGTCAGTGATGGGGGAACTGGGAGCTGTGCTGATTGGTGTAAATGGACTCCTCTGTTAACATGTCCTACACCCCTCCTGGCTATGTAACCAGGCTGCTTAGCTTCCTCTGGTTAACTGGGAGACATCTAAGATACCCCCTGATGCTACACTATGTCCAGCAAAAGGCTTTCTCAGAATAGTCTTTTATCTATTTGAGATTTGTACCTATCTGGGATTTGAGATTCATGCTACCCACAGGGGCAGCAGTGAAAAGAGAACAGAGGTAGAAGGTGATGGGTGCTAGACTCAGACCCATCACTAGAAGAGGTCTTGGAATTACCAAGCCTTGTAGTCTAAGGGTCTCAACACCCAAGAGTTAGGAACTGTAATGCTACCTTGCATTACCTGCTGCTACCACTGCTTCAAAGTTGAGTTTCACCAATTGTTGCATGTTGACATGGCAGTAAAAAGCCAGAACAAGATTCCTCTAACCAGAGCAGCTGGAGCTGTCAGTCGCTGGCTCCTAAGGTCAGGACCCATGCACCTCTAGTTCCCAGGGCTTTGGGATACAAAGTATCAGTCCATCAGGTTTCTGTACTCATGAGCCACGGGTTCCTAATTATAGACCTACTCACCTACAGATTTCCATGGAATAAAATGACTCCAGCTAGCTGCCAAGGGCCCATGATTAAACAGGAGCCACCTATCCCTGAGTTTCTCTCCTAAATGACCTGACATCTCAGCCAAGGCTGACACAACAGGACACAGATGCTCAGTGTCACACAGGTGTACATGGTCCTGACCCATTTGCCCAGGCTGACTGACCCACACATGAAGGACAAAGCTATATATAGATAGCATCATCATGGGACGGTGCTGTCTGGAGTTGATATTTCTTTATAAGGCAAGGCTGAAAACCCAGAAAACTGATGTGACATGCAGGTTATGAGTCTAAAGTCAATGTTCAATAGGACCTCGGCAGAGACCTTTCCAGCACCCGCACCTCCCCTTGTTCTAGCATGAATTATGTGAATGAAATTATTGTGTAAGTCTTTTCTGGTCAATTTATGTCTGGGTTTGTCTTCTGGTACCAGGTACATCATCAATCATGCCTTATTATTTTATGGCCTTGTTAAATGTCACACCAAAACACAAGTTTTTTTGTTTTCGTTTCTCTTTTTTGGCTGAGACAGGGTTTCTCCGTGTAACATCCCTGACTACTCAGGAACTTGTCTGTAGAGCAGCCTGGCCTAAAACTCAGAAACCTGCCTGCCTCTGCCTCCCCAGCACTGGGACTAATGGAGTGCTCCGCCGCTCATCTAGCTTCAAGGCCGAGCTACTACTCAGGCTTACATCATTCTTGGCTCTCACAGCATTGTGGGTGTTTCTGTTTCCTGTAGTTAAACAGCTGGCTACTGCCAGGTCTTCTGTGCACGTAGCACTGATTCTCTGGGAGAGGCCCAGAAATGGTTCCTCTGGTCCAATGAGAGCAGCGTCCCAGCACCCACTTCCGGCCGGCCTTTAGCAAAAGCCTCCTCCCCATTCAACTGGTTGCCATGATGGCTTCCTCAATTCCTGTCTTACATTCAGCTGCCTTTCCCCCCCTCCCCCCCCCGTTTATTTATTTATTAAAGATTTCTGTCTCAGCCGGGCGGTGGTGGCGCACGCCTTTAATCCCAGCACTCGGGAGGCAGAGGCAGGCGGATCTCTGTGAGTTCGAGACCAGCCTGGTCTACAAGAGCTAGTTCCAGGACAGGCTCCAAAACCACAGAGAAACCCTGTCTCAAAAAACAAAAAAAAAAAAAAAATTTCTGTCTCTTCCCTGCCACCTCCTCCCATTTCCCTCCCCCTCTCCCAATCAAGTTCCCCTCCCTTTCAGCCCATAGAGCTATCAGGGTTCCCTGCCCAGTGGGAAGTCCAAGGACCACCCACCTCCATCCAGGTCTAGTAAGGTGAGCATCCAAACTGCCTAGGCTCCCACAAAGCCAGTATGTGCAGTAGGATCAAAAACCCACTGCCATTGTTCTTGAGTTCTCAGTAGTCCTCATTGTCCGCTATGTTCAGCGAGTATGGTTTTATCCCATGCTTTTTCAGACCCAGGCCAGCTGGCCTTGGTGAGTTCCCGATAGAACATCCCCATTGTCTCAGTGTGTGGGTGCACCCCTCGCGGTCCTGAGTTCCATGCTCGTCTCTCTCTCCTTCTGCTCCTGATTTGGGCCTTGAGATTTCTGTCCGGTGCTCCAAATTGGGTCTCTGTCTCCTTTCATTGCCTGATGAAGGTTAATATTCAGGAGGATGCCTATATGTTTTTCTTTGGGTTCTCCTTATTTAGCTTCTCTAGGATCATTAATTATAGGCTCAATGTCCTTTGTTTATGGCTAGAAACCAAATATGAGTGAGTACATCCCATGTTCCTCTTTTTGGGTCTGGCTTTCTCACTCAGGATAGTGTTTTCTATTTCCATCCATTTGTATGCAAAAAGTCCTTGTTTTTTACTGCTGAGTAGTACTCTAATATGTATACATTCCATACTTTTTTTTTTTTTTTTTTTTTGTTTTTCGAGACAGGGTTTCTCTGTGGTTTTGGAGCCTGTCCTGGAACTAGCTCTTGTAGACCAGGCTGGTCTCGAACTCACAGAGATCCACCTGCCTCTGCCTCCCAAGTGCGGGATTAAAGGCATGCACCACCACCACCGCCCGGCCATTCCATACTTTCTTCATCCATTCTTCCATTGAAGGGCATCTAGGTTGTTTCCAGGTTCTGGCTCTTTGATTTAATTGTAGTGGGGCGATCTGCTCTCGGTGTTGCGCGCCGGTCCCCAGCATCCACCAGCACCGTCCGCCTTTTTATAAGATTTATTTTCTATGTACATTGGGGTTTAGTCTACATGTCTGTGTGAGAATGTTGGATCCCCTGGACCTGGAGATACAGCTGTGAGCTGCCATGTGTATGGTGGGAATTGAACCCGGGTCCTTTGGAAGAGCAGCCAGTGCTCTTAACCAGTCATCTCTTCAGTCTCCAGCTGTCTTGATATCCTGTTGCTCATCTCTATACCAAACATTTACAAATGTAATTGACACTCCCAGCCCAAACTGCCTCTCCCACCAACCGCCCCAACCAAGATGGAGTCCTGTTTCACACAAGATAGTGTTTCACCACTGATCTGCATCCTATTATGTGGTCTTTAGCAGTTCTTAGCTTTGATAAGAGCTGAAACCACCAAAGTTCCCCTCACAGTCAGCAGAATTTGGTGTCAGGAAACCACCCCTGGTATTCCCCATGGCCTCAAGCAGGAAGTGCTTGTTTTTGCATATTAGGTTCCCTTGGGTGGGAACCCAAGAAACAGACAGCATGTCCTCACTGGTCTCAGAACAGGACCTCACTGTCCACCTGCTGGCCAGAGCTTTAGTCCTTGTGCGAGGCACCTGATCAGGTTGAGGTGTTAGAGACAATAAGATCACTCTTCCCAAAGTCAGGGGGCCCATAAGGCCTCATCTGTCAGGCTGCAGGTGGACCCTGGAGTGCCATGTGTCATCAATGGTGCGAGCTCACCCTAGGACCTCAGGGCCCACCAAGATGGTTGTATTTGGTTTTATTCTTACTTGGCTGTGTGGGAGCGCAGGACAAAGAACAGTGAGACCACAAATGTGCATATTTTGAGCCCTTATGTGTGGAAAAGCTGATACTGAGGTCCTTGCCAAGTGACAAGTCCTGACAACCTGACCAAGGATGGGGCCCATGGTTGAGCTTTCGACATGCTCTTTTGTTTGTTTTTCGAGGCAGGGTTTCTCAGTGTAAGTCCTAGCTGCCCTGGAACCAGCTCTTGTAGTAGACCAGGCTGGCCTTGAACTCACAGAGATCCACCTGCCTCTGCCTCTGAGTTCTGGGATTAAAGGTGTGCACCACCACCGCTTGGCCAACATGCTTTCTTGCACATGGCCCACAGACCCGAGACCCAGGGAAGACAAAGCAGACACGACGTGGGATTCTACCTGGAACTGATTAACTCCGCAGAGCAAATGGAGAAGTGACAGCTAGTAGCACTGGATCTGCATTTTGGGTTTTTATTAGTTTTCTTTTTTTTTCGAGACAGGGCTTCTCTGTGTAGTTAGTCCTGGCTGCCCTGGAACTCACTCTGTAGACCACGCTGGCCTCAAACTCACTGAGATCCACCTGTCTTTGCCTCCCGAGTCCTGGGATTAAAGGTGTGCACCACAATTGTCCAGCTGCATTTAGATTTTTTTTTTAAATATTTATTTATTAGGTATACAATATTCTGTCTGTGTATGCCTGCAGGACAGAAGAAGGCACCAGACCTTATTACAGGTGGTTGTGAGCCACCATGTGGTTGCTGGGAATTGAACTCAGGACCTTTGGAAGAGCAGGCAATGCTCTTAACCTCTGAGCCATCTCTCCAGCCCTGCATTTAGATTTTTTAAGGTCAAGCTCCAAAGGGCCACTGGAAGTCCTACAGCAGGGCAGTTTTCAGAGGCAGGGAGCATAACTGGACCTGTTTATAGCTCATATCACTGTCACAAGGAGCCAACTTCCCATGTGTCCTGGACCAGAGCTGGAACCCACAGGTGGAAGCAGCAAGAAGAGCTAAGCAAGTGTTAGCACGGACAGGGGCTGCAGGCCAGGAGGGACAGCAGAGGCTCAGCAACAGGCAGGAGGTTCCACAGACTCTAGGAGCTACATCATGAAAGTCAGGAAGGACCTGTTAGACACTGGTCTTCCAGAAACATGCTAGGAACAGTCACTGGAACAAACAGCATGGTGCCCTGCCTCAAGGCCAGAGGGCACCTGTATCAGAACTATCACCCTAACCATACGACATTAGGCAAGCAGGAAAACCCCATGAGAGAATGTTCTAGCAGAGGGTCCAGGGTGCCCAGAGTTGGATAGTGGCCTCAGGCCTGAGTTAGCAGGAGGCTAGAGGTTGCCTAGTGGAACCTACCACCTGCCCAGTGTCTGGTCAGTGTTTGGAGCTAGGGATAGGAAGGAAGGCAGTGTTAGAAACCACGGGACCCGCTTGGGCCCACCGGCTAGAAGCCTGGGCTAGGAGAGAGCCATCCCACCAGGCTGTGGGCACGTCCTGGACACAAGCTGCTTTGTGAGACCTGAGCTTGCCCAGTGCCCAGCAGCCTTCAGAACAAAGGCCTTCTGTCTGCACTGCAGCTTCCCTCCTCTTCTCTCCCCGGCAGAGCCCCAGGGCTCCCATCCAGCTCCTCACACACAGCAGGCACATCCACGGCCCAGCACAGGAGGAGGCTCTGCTGCAGGAGGTGTACAGCTAGAGTCGGAGAAACCAGAGCTGCTCCACTCGGGGGAGACCCGGTGCTTCCTGCACTGTGCAGCACGTGATTCCAGCCCGGGGCCCACCATGCCCCACACAGAGCCCAGTATCAGAAGTGGGGGAAATTAAAGGGCAGTGGCAGAGGGCAACAACCTGGTGTCCCCAGAGACAGCTCTACCATGTATATATAGGTCCCCTCCAAACTGCTCTGGAGGACCAGCCCATGGTGACTCTAAAACTGTAGGCAACAGGGCTTGGACCTCTGCTCCAATGCCAGCCCCAGTCTGCTCCTCTGAGACCCTACAAAGACCTCTACACAGGTGGGCACACCTTGGGGCCTTCAGTGTCCAGGAACCATAATCCAAATCAAGCCAGGCAGAGCACCAGCCAGCCTGGCCAGCTCCTGCTGACACTGGCTCTGTAGCTGGTGCAGCACCTTTTTCAGACCGGCCTCCTGGGTGCTCAGGGTCCTGATCATCTCAGCTGCCTGTAGGCCTTGAGGTCCTGGTGACTGATCCTTACTTCTCACCAGCCGATGGGGTCTCTGGGGCTGGGTAGGGTCACTGGATGGCTCCCAGGATACCTGCAGGGCAATCAACTCCTGTTTGACAGCCTCCTGCAAGGCCCTCCTTGTGGTGCTCCACTCTGGCCCCTGACCTAGGCCTCCAACCTGCATGAGAGAAGACACACAGGCTACTGAGCCAAGGGCAGCTCTGTTCCCAGGAGAACGGGTCCAGGTGCACCCAAAAACCCTGCAGCTCCAGAGCTGCAAGGCAAGGCATTAGTCCATGCATCATCCCACCATACAAAGCCAGGCCACCCATGACCCGTACAAAAGGCCTGGCTAGCCCAAAAATCTTTTACCCTCACAAAGCACCTGAAGCCCATGCCAGCAGCAGCTGGGACACAGGGACCCAAAACTCAGAGAATCAAGATCCTTAACCTCCAGGGCTCCTCACTCAGGACAGCTGACTGTAGGACCGCTGGGTAGTTTCTAGCCTACCATGTCCCTCAAGGGTCTTCAGAACACAAGGAAGATTCCTGGGGACACCCGCTACTCCAGGATTTGGGGCAGCATCCCCCACCACCCTGTTTCACCCTCTCCTTCCTACTGCTATCTAGGAGGGGAATACCTGAGTGGGACTGACCCAGGGGGCATAGGGTACTACCTCTAATCCCTCAAGGCAATCCCTAGCCAAAGACCCTGTGGGCAGCAAGTCTAAGTGAAGGTCACACTGATGAGGCCACTAACCCACTCCAAAGACCCCAGAGAGTCACCTTGAGTCCTGGGTGCTCTGCTGAATGGGCTCTGCCCTCACAGTTCTATATATATATAAAATTCAGGATAAAATCTACTACCACTCCTGGGGTATTAGCTGCTGTGAGGAAGAGACCTCTGGCCCAACCACAGGCTCATGGTCTGCGGCATGCCAGCCTCACTAGGATGGAGAGTTGGAGGAAAAACAGTGGTTGCTCCCGATCTTCAAGGAGACTATGGAAGAGCTAAGGGGAGCCTGCCTGCAGCTGACATTAAAAGGAGAACTGATGGATACAGAAGTGAGCAGCATATGCTACCAGGAACTGCTGGGGAGGGGCAGAGTGGCCGACCAACCGGCAATGCGCATGGAATGGGAGCACCAGGGCAGGCAATTCTGCACAGGCTGCCTACTTCTCTGTGGGAGTTCCCGGAGAAAATCTCAAGGTGACAGTGAAGGATAGTGGGGTTTCTTCCCTGCAACCCCTGCTTTTGGAATTTGCTGTCCAAGTATATCACCATCAAATTTAATCCAAATAAGTAGGGTAATTTGTCGAATGGTTAACCAAGACCTCCCACAAAAAGAGCCAGTCCAGACAGAAAAAAGGAGGCAGAGCCGGAGCATAGGTTGGGAAGAGTGGGCAAAGTAGCTGCCTAGGAGCTCACCTGGGCTTCCCATGCCGCCCTCCGGGGCTCAGCCACTTCCCGTAGCTCCTCCTGCAGGGCCTGCAACTCTTGTTTTACCAACTCCAGCTCACCAAGCCCACATTCAGAAATCATGGGCAGAACTGTGGGCTGTGAGGTCACAGCAGGAGTCTCCGACAAGCAGGCATCCAGAACTGTATCCTGCAGAGACCCCAGTGAGATGGTCAGGGACAAACACAGGTTTCAAGTGGGGACAGAGGATGCAGAGGTTGATGGGGCAGAGCATTCCCAGATCGCACTGCAGACAGGGCAGCTTCTGACTCCCTGGCTACTTCTCTGGCATTCAGGGAAGCACAAAAACCAGACCTCTGGGAGAACCAGAGGCAAGGACCAGCAATATGAGGCTTCCACTGAGTACAGCCGATATCCTGAGCAGAAGCATCCCTTAGAGCCCTCGTCTCCATCTTCAAGGAGGGATGATCTTCCAAACTCTACTAACAATGAGCCTGGGACTCCTGGCCAGCGCCAGGAAGGGTTGAGACAGCAGGGAAGACGTCCTCACCATCCACTGCCAGAAGACCAGCTCACACTGCCGCCACTCCAGAGCTGCCCCCAGGCGTATGTTCTCACTCTCCAGCGCCTGCAGAAGCTAGAGAGGAAGACACAGACTGCTGGGCCAGACTGCTCCCTGACCATCTCCCGAGCCAAGCTCTAGTCCAGGGGCCTTTGACCAGAGTGCTCTGCCCAACATTCCACCGACTAGAGGCTGTCCCAAAGGCTGCATAGATGGGAAGACCTAAGACCGGGGAGCCTGCTGGGCCATGTATCTTTGGGAACAAACCCCCAAAGTAAGGAAGAGTTGATAGGTGATGGGGATTTGTGCAGGGGATAGGGCAGGGGCATGGGACAGAGTTGAGGCATGCATAAGAGGGAAGGGCAGGGTCAGGTCAGAAGATAACCACGGCCCACCCTCAGCAGAGCAAAGCCTGCTAGTCCTGCACTAACAGCTGTGCCTCAGAGACAGTTCAATCTTGGGCTCGAGAAGAGGCAAAGAAGGGAGCTGGACCTGGAAGAAGAGGTCACCCAGCCCAAGTTCCAGCTCGGCTGCAATACATGCCCAATGCCAACAGGCAGCCAACCACTCAGGAGGTCTACAGTCCAGCCCCTAAGTGGTGACCAATGCTGGACCTCTCCCGTGAACCTCAGAGATAAGCTGACCAAAAGGAAGAAGCCAGTAATGATGGACAGGGCCCTAGAAAGACAGGCAGGAAGGTGGGGAAGGGAGGGCAAGTGGAAAGAACTGGATATCCTGGGAGAAGCTGGGGATGGGGCCAGCACTGACACTCTTCCCAGCCTCAGACAGAAGGCTCTGTCGCCCGAGGCCACGTTATCACTGGGTCTCATTCATGGCCTGCTATCCTCCAGGTCTGTGCTAAGATTTAGGTCCATCAAGACCTTCAGGAGGGGCCCACTGCCTAGGGCAGCCATGGTTGGGAAGAATCAAATGGCCCCTGGGCAATAAGACAGGACTGAGGCCTACAAATCAGCACTTATGCACAGATCTACCCCAGTAGACTTCCCAAGAGACCCTGAGAGTCTAGGCTCTGAAGAGCAGCTCTCCCGACTCACTCGGCCTTTAAACACCTCCAGATACATCAGTCAGGCAGAGCTAGCCGCCCATTTCAGACCGAGATCAATGTTCCTCCAAGCCAGCCGTCCCCTCCTGGACACCACATCCCTCCAACCTGGACCTTGCCTGGCCAAATAACAGGCGTACACAACACCTAGTCTTCCTTCCTGGACAGGTGTGCAATCAACGGGACAGGGAGAATCCTAAGGGACACACGGATCACCCACCATAGCAAATGACAGTGACTTTGGCAAATACCCAGAGACACAGACGTCAAAGCCTAACACCAACCCAGGTATTCCCCAGTAGACCACACCCTATCAAGGGCAGCAGCCACTCCAGCACCCTATCAACTCTCACCTGCTGACTGCTCTCTGGGTCTCTGAGCATCTCTGTTTCAGCAACAGAAAGATGGTCAAGGTTCCGCTGGCTGTGACATCCACGGGTGTACAGGTGGATCTGCAACAAGCAATGTACCAGGCTGGGGAGCCACTCCCCAACAAGAGCTCCCTTAGCTGGATACAGACACCTTCGAGACCACTCATAGCCAGAAGGACAGAGCTGGGCTCAGGGCAGCTCCGTAATGCTGGGGGTGTGGGCTGCAGAGGAGGGGCACTAGACAATTTCACTGAGGGCTTCCACACTTTGCTCACCAGGACAGAGGTAAGGCAGGGTCCTGCTCTACTTATAAAGGGGAGACCTAACCTATAGGCCAGAGCTGGGGGAAGTCCAGCAGTCCAGTGAGCCAACAGTGATGACAGAGCTGGACCACAGGGCAAATGGGCCCAGTGTGAGGAGCCATAGGGCTGGACTACCTTGCTGAGCAGGGTACACTGTTCCTGCTGACTGGAGATCAGGCGTCGCCACCTAAACCGCAGCTTTCCCATCAGCCATTCCACTAGTCGGAGATCCACCGGACTCTCTGTTTCCACACGGGGTGCAAGAGGGCCAGGGATGGCCAGGGCCTCACACTAGAGAGGGAACAAGAGTCAGCCCTGCTATACACCCCATCTCGTGCTAAAGGAAGGACCAGGAGGAGGAGGTGCGCTACGAGCATAGAATCAGCCCGCTCTAGTCTCAGCTGGGAAGCCAGATGAGGACCGCACCAAGGGTACCATATGACTTGGGACCACAGAGAAATCCAGGGTTTCTGGCCAAAGTTCAGCTCAGACACCCTCACTACATACTCACCTCACACTGGGGCAGCTGATCACCCAACTGCACACGGGTCTGGGCAAGCAGCTGCTCAAGGAAGGGTCCTTGTGCCAGAAGCCAAGACAGGGCCAGCAGCAGTTCCCGGCTTCTCTGAGAACTGCCCTCAGGAAACTGTACCAGTGCAGACCTGGGGTAGCCCTGGGAGTCCAGTGCTGACTTCACCACACGGGCTTGAGCCTCTGGAGTAGGAAATCACCAGCTTAGGGGGTGCCAACCTGGAGGTGTCACCTGGGTCCTTCTGGGAAACTGGGAGCCAGCTGATTGGACAAAGGAGGCCCAGGGGGAAGGATTTCTGTGAATGGCTGGTTCAGGCTCTAGTCAGTCTCAGAGCCACTGCTAGTCAGGTGAGCGAGGGAAAAGGTAGTAGAAAGCGAGGCTTAAGGAAGTGGGCGGGGCAGTGCTGGCAGAGAGAGGGGAAGGGACAGGTGTCTGCAGAAAGGGGGCGTTGAAGTTGAATACAGAAGGGTAGACAAAAGAGGAGCTTTAAAGGTGCGGGACTTACCGAGCTGAGCTGAGCGAGGTCGACCGAGTTGGGGGAGTGGAAATAAGGGCCCTGGGGCGTGGCTTTCTGAGAGGGCAGGGCTTACCTGGAGCAAGGTCGGTCAAGGTATCTTTAGCAGCAAGCGGTGAGAGCACGCGTAAGAGAAGCTGCCAAAGCACTGGAGCCTGAAGCGAAGGAGTTTGTAGACAGCGGGTGTCAAGTCTCACCAACGTCGGCCCAGGACAACGCCTTCCCCGACCCCGGCCGCCTACCCTGATAGCCTCACCGCCTCTGGACGGTTAAACTTCGCGCGGCGGAAGATTTCAGGGCTGGGCCCAGCGGGCAGGGACCGACTCAACGCAGCGATAGCTTCAGGAAGGGCCCTGGCCGCTCCTTCCACCCGGTGCCTCCGCCGCCCCATGCAGCCAGCACCAGGCAGCCTCGGATCGCCCGCCCGGGCAAGCCGGACCCAGCGACCAATCAGGGCTCGGGCTGGGACCCGCCCTCTGCGCCCAGGCCCAATGAGCGGTGACCGGCGTTTGAATGCCTACCAGTCTGTCCCGTAGGCAGGCACTTCCGCGGACTTTGGAACGCACCAATCAGCACCTCTGGTTCCCAACCTCCAGGCGGCTCCCGCGCAGATAGCGCGCGGCTGGAGGGCGCGCATGCGCCCGAGTGTCCCCTGGAGGCGCAGGGAAAGGAGTACGGCTCCACCCAAACACTGAGGGAGTGTCTCTGCGGAGCCGTCCAGGAGCTCGCCGCCAGGGGGCGCCAGGGACCCGCGAGGAGAAGCCGAGCCCGGGGAACCGGGTGGGGAGTTCCGGGGGCCACGTCTCCAGGAGTCTCTTGAGAAAGCCGTCCTCCCTCTCCTGTACAATCCCAGACCTCCTTGTCCCCATTTTCATCCTTCTTCCAGCCACTAGAAGACTAGTTTTTGAGGAAAATTCTCCACTTTAGAAAAGGGTGCGGCCATCTCCTTTAGTGTTGAACTTAGTTTCGCGCACTACAGTGTCAATCCTGGTAAGCCGTGAGAACCCTGCGAGGAAACATGTAGAAGTACACAGCAGCTACATGACAACGGCAGAATGAACCCAGACCCCAACCTGATGAGCGGGTTAAGACGCCGCACAAGCAGGAAGCAATTATGCTCAGCAATGGGCATGAGGCTGGTACGTGGCCACAGCCTTTACCAGAACACTCTCTGTGGGAAGCCGGGGACGAAAGACCACTTCAAATGTTCCAGTGCGTGCGGAGGAGGGCCGGACAAAGACCAGATGCTGCCTACGGGGATCCGGGGATCTGCAGGCGACGGAAGACAGGGCGAATTGTGGGGGCGGGGCCTGTACGCTTGAGCGGGCACAAGCTAAGCTTTGTGTGCTCGATGTCACCAGAAATAGCTGGGACTGTGCACGGTACTGTGTGCGCTCTCCATCTCAATAAAGCCAGGAAAGAGGGAAAGGGTGCGATGTGTAAGAGGAAACTGAGGTGAGAGGGAAGGGCAACGGACCCTAGGCACCTGCCACCTTAACAGCAGCTACAGAATGGCCACTCCCTCCGGAAGTGCGGGACTGTTGGCCCACCTCGATCTTAACCTTCCGTGTGCTCCTGCTCCGCACTTTACCCCTCCCCGCCCCCGCATATGACTTCTTGCTGCAGACTTTCCTCTGCTCATCTGGTGCCTTGGGCCATTCTGCCTCAGGTGTCCTTCTTCCTGGGCCCTTGCCAAGCAGCTAGGGCTGCTGGTGCCAGATAGCCAAGCCCAGCTAGACCCTACTTGCTCCTACCGCCCTGGGTCTAGGACCCTGCTTCTGCACAGGCTTGTGCATACCGTCACACTTCACAGCGCCCTGAAACCTTAAGCTCAAAGATCTTGGCTACTGTGCCAAGGAACTCCTGATACACCCCTAAGGAGCCCTTTGTCTCTCGAGGCCTCTTTGCAATACTATGCTCTTGCCCCACCTGACCTGTTCGTTTCTACAGGCCTCAGGTTGCTGGGAATTCACTCCAAGTCTGCCCGCGTTGGGAGGCATGGAACTGGGTGCAGGGGGCTGGGATTATGAGGAAGGCAGGGTCCTCGAAGGTGGGAGAAAACAGGGGAAACGGAGCTTCTGCCCTTTACCCATGCCTTTTCCAGGTCCTCTGCAGATGTTGGACACCCAAGACCTGGAGGTCTGTCCCAACGCCCATACCCCTCCCAGCTGGAAACTCTTAAATTAAGATTTCAGGTTTAGCCGGGGCCATGGTGGCACACGCCTTTAATCCAAGCACTCTGGAGGCAGAGGCAGGCAGTCGGATCTCAAGACCAACCTGGTCTACAGAGGGAGTTCCAGGACTGGCTCCATAGCTACTGAGAAACCCTGTCTCAAAAAAAAAAAAAACAAAAAACAAAAACAAAAACAAAACTCAGGTTGACCTATTCTGCTCATACTGTTATAACCTAAAGCACTATGACATCTACCCCGTTGGTATTCCAGAATCACCCAGTAAAACACACACACACACACACACACACACACGGCCACAACAGCCTATCAGGCTCATTCTTTGTGGCCTTGTTAAGTTCAAAAGAGTCTTGAAAGGCCAGTGGCATGGGGAAGGGGAAGCTGAGAGTTGCCAGGCTCTACATAAGTTTCCAGAAAACCCTTCCTACCGCCACAGAGCCGGCCCTCAAATCCCGTTAGAGCACCGAGTCACCCGGAGCGTTCCTGGGCAGGGGGGAAGCGCAGATGTGGATGTGGTATCTGTTGAGCAGCTGCAGAACATCCACAAGGGTGCACTTCTGGGGACAGGGTGGGGTTACAGGAAGTGGAAATGGAATAGGCAAGAAGTCCGCACAACTCCCATGAAAGAATCTCAGAAAGGGAACCATATCAGCTCCCACTGATTCACCCTCTGAACTGTGGCCAGCCCCACCCACTCCCAGGCTCCATGTTCCTGCTGACCCTGTTGGCCAGGGCCTCACCCCAGGCCAGAACCACTAAGGAACTTTATGGATTCTGAAGTCCTGCCCCGAAGTGGCACTCCCCCAGAGGGTAGTGGGCAGCAATGTCTACAACAGCAGGAAAAATCAGTGTCCTGCATTCGGCCTGGGGCTGAGGCTCCCCACAGCTTCCCTCCAGCACACACTGGTAGACAAACACACGGGTCTTCCAAAAGATCAGGTTTATTAAGGGCATGAAGGGCTACTGAGAGCCCCCGCTGTCCAAGGTTAAGGCCTGGCATGTGCCTGGGCAGGTAGGGAGGGTTTCCACAACCTGTAAGGAGAGACAGAGACAAACGTGAGTGCATGTCCAAGTTTCGTTACTCCACCAGGGCTGACCTCATCCTGTAGACAGGCGGACTGGGTGGGATTGGAGATGGGGCTGTACCTGGATCTACTTGAAAGTGTGGCTCTCGGCTCCACCTCTCCCAAAGCCTGAAAACAAAACAAAAAAAAACAGAAAACGAGATCAATAGGTTGGGGAAGGGGGTCAGTTGAGGTGAGAGGCCTGTTAGGGAAGAGGCCCAGCAACATACCTTTGGGCCCAAACATGGCTGAGTAGCAGGGATGGTTGCAGTAGGGCTTGCCTTCATGCTGTAAGGAGAAGAACATGAGGGGATGCCTTCACCACCCCAGCTCCTACAGCCCCCCTTCGTTCCTCCCTCTCCCCCCTAGCAGTCCCTTACCTCGGCATGGCTCCCAGAGGTCAATGTCTTTCCACATTTCTCACACTTCAGGCAGGGGCGATGCCAGTCCTTGCCTAGTGATGTTACTCGCTCAGCTGCAAGAGCACAAACCCACTGAGACCCTGGGGTCCCTTCGGCTGCACAACACATACGCGCTTCATTCCCTCAATGTGGTAGGTACCCCACCCTGGGTCCTTAGACTGCCCTGAGCTCCATAGAGGGGCACCTCCTATAGCACAAGCCAGAAGGGTCCTCCTACGGGAGGGATATTTTCTTTCTCTCTCTCTCTCTCTCTCTCTCTCTCTCTCTCTCTCTCTCTGTCTCTGTCTCTCTCTCTCTCTCTCTGTCTGGTATTTTGAGACAGGGTTTCTCTGTGTAACAGCCCTGGCTGTCCTGGAACTTGCTTTGTAGACCAGGCTAGTCTTGAATTCACAGAGCTCTTCCTGCCTCTGCCTCCCAAGTGCTGGGATCAAAGGTGTGGGCCACACCACCTCAGTTCATTGGTGGGACATTTTCAAGAGCTACCACAGGGATGTGACCCCCTGAGGGCTTGTAGGGCTGGAGCGGAGCCCTACAGACTTGAGGGACACGGCGGCGGGATGGATTTGGGGAGCAGGTCTAGAGAGTCTAAGGCTAGGTCGCGAATGGGTTAAGTCCTCTGACCTCCGCGCTGGTGGCTGCATAAATGAACCTGGGCACGCCCTTCTCTACAACAGGGACAAGGGGACTTGACTTAAACACCCTCTTGTGGGAGCCCTGGGGTGCGCGAAGAGCAAGAAAACCAGCACCCCAGAGATTGCACTCCCGGACGTGGTTTTCCGTGTCTGTTTCTACTTAGGGTTGGGAGGGGCCGCCCCTGTCCCGCGTTCCTTCCTTTCCCGCGGGGACCCCGCCCAGGACACGCAGAGAGAAGGCGGGAGAGACAGACCAGCGGGATCCAGAGGCGAGGATCACAGAGAAGGGGAGACCCAAAAGCATGGGAGTCATGGAGATCTGGAGACCCAGAGGCAAGGAGGCTAGAAAACCGACCCAAAAGCATAAGACAAGTGGGCATAGATATCGGTTCCGTTTGATACCAAGTTGTCCCACCCTCACGCCGCAGGCAAGGTTCCTGGGTTCGATCCAAGGCGATTCCCAGAACTCTAGGCGGCACTGCCGCCCACCTGCACAACCCCAGAACTACCCGCCTCCAGGCTACGCTTCCGCGTACCGCCTGCACTGCGCCCGCGGGCATGTAGAGAAAGGCTGGGACACCCAAGCACGCTCACCGAAATACACCTCCTTGTCGCACTTGGGACACTTCGGCATGGCGGAGCTGAGTCCTACACAAGTGGCTGCAACTAGAAGGAAGTAGGTAGTAAGCTCTGGACTGGGTGGCGTCCGCCTGGTCCGCGCTTTTCAGGGACCCCACGGCCCTGCCCTTTAAGGCCCCGCCCCCGCCCCGCCCCGCCCCCTGAGTCCCGGACTTGGACCCCTGGGATCTCTGATCCTAATCAACTGGCCAAGAATGGTCATCTGGTCCATGCTCGCCTCTGGCAGGACAAACTGGCCAAGTGCCATGCAGGGGCGCCGAGTCTTCTGGGGACCCTCTGTGGAGCCAGGCAGCTCCCGCGGGCCCAGGCCCCGCCCCCTGCCTGGGGCAGGGCAAGTGTGCAGTGCTGAGCAAGGAACCTTAGGTCCTTCCCTCAATTGATGAAGCGCCCTATCAGGACCACCTTGAGCCTTGCACCAGCGAGAGCTTGCAGGAGCCCCGGAGGGCACAGGAAACTTCTGAAGTTCAGATAAAGCCTGGTGAGGTGCGATTGTCCTTTCCTACTAGGACTGACTGGTGAGACCAATCTGGTCTCTAGGGTGAGACCCTGTTTTAAAACACACAGACAAAAATAAATAAAAGTAAAATAAAATGCAAACAGATGCAAATTATCATTCAAGGGTTCTGCACCTATTTTGAACCTGCCGTCTCCCAGAAAGAAAGTTGAGGGCATTGAGAGTGTCTCAGCCTTGTAGCCCAGCCCCTCCCAGCCCAGACTTTCCCAGATCTAACCCATGCAGACACCAGGAGGTCCACCTGGTTATAGGCAAATAAATAGCCTGACCTTTGCCAGGCGACTGGACTGCGGCCACAATTTCACCAGGGGAATTCAGAAGAGGAGACTCCCATCCAGGAAAGCCCTTCCTGCCACAGGGACAACAGAATCTAAACTTGAGGACCCACCAACTTGAGGTTGGAGACTAGAGGTCAGGTCAAGACAAGGAATGCAGGCCAGGCCACACCCAGGTCGCTTCCCTGATCCCTGGAGGTACAATCAAAGAAGAACGGTCAGTCCTTATCTCTGGGAGAAGCTGCTGTGCTCAGCAGTCCGAGTCAACCGCCCAGCTAAGTAGGCTGTTGAGCCGTGACTGGTACCAGGTAGAGACTTGCAGACCAGTGTGCTCACGACAGGCAGGCCTTCACCGGGGTTGGGCTCTAACCATTGCCTAACTCTCTGACGCTGTGATTGCTGTTAGCTAGGCATTCAGCTCCCACCCTTCATCTCCCTGCTCTGCGGAACTTCCTACCTGTTCCATAACACATGGACCTCCTTACACATACTGTTACCAGAGCCCTCTCCTCTTGACACACTCCTCTCAAAACAAGACCTCA